ATACTCAATAAAAATTATAATAAAGATTATATAAATAAGTTAGTTGTATATCATTACTTAAAAAAGCATAAAAATATTTATATAAAATTATTTAAATATCCTTAATTTATGAATTTGTTAAGTATTTTTTATGGACTTCATATAATTTTTTTTTTTTTTTTGGATAAGGACACCTGAAAATTTGCATTTTCAAGATTTATTGTGATAATAACTTAATAAGGTGAATAATGTTAATCTCGTTCAAATAGGAATGGGAAACGTGAAATTGGAAGGATGTCCCAAGCATATACTTTTTGGAATTATTTAAGGACTTTTCTGAGTTTTCTCCCAACCCCAAGCCAAGGGAAACAAAGCGCAAAAAGGACCTCAAAATCCAGCATGTAACCAAACGCTGACACGGCGGCTAAAAACGTCGCGCCCCCACGGCACCACCTCTTTTCTCTTCCTTTCTTTCTTTCTTAAAACAACACAACAACATTTTCCGACCGCACCAATAATTCCAACCCTAACAAAACAAAACAGATTTCTCCGATTTCCGATTCATTTGCTTCGTCGCTCGCGGCGCAGCAGTTTAATCCAATTCCTGGGGTTGGAGAAAGAATCTGGAGCTGATTTTTTTTTTTTTCTTTTTGAATTTCGTTATTTTTTTGGGTTGGGTTTGAGGTTTCCTTGCGGATATGGAGATAGAGGTTTCGGGTTCGGGTTCGGGTTCGGGTTCGGGTTCAGCTGCGTTGATGGGGAAAGTGGAGAGGAGGAGGAACGTAGAAGAGAAGGATCGGGCTCGGGTGAAGAGGAAGGATTTGGAGGCCGTGCTCGAGCAGTGCCAGAGAGCTTTGGAATTGCTCAGTAACGCTGACAGTCTTGACGATGATGATGAAAATATCGACGACAAAGATTGCACGGAGCTGGAGGAGGATGCCAACCGTGATGGGTCGTCGGCTCTTCCAGGGGATCAGGAAATCGATGAGGTATTTTAGTTTTGCTTTGCTTTCAGTTTTGGTTTGATTGCGGCTATAGTAATTTTGGTAAATTCTGAGGTGGGGTTAGTCTATTTGCTAAGATGCTGAGGAAAACTGGAAAAAGGAAGGAAATTGAAGTCTGAATCTCATATTATTTATTGTTTTTAGGAACTGTAATTATGGGTTGTTAAGCTTTAATTTTGGTAGATTTTGATTGTCATGCAGATAGCATTTCTATCTCTTGATGCTCTAAATTGGAAATATTTTCTTTATCAAGATTGAGCTTGTGTTTGGCACTTTTCTAAATAGAATGTCTGTCTTGTGCCTGTCTAATGCAGTTGTGCAATCTTCTCAAATCTAGAGTTGAATGTCCTGACTTCCTTGAAAAGCTAGAGTGTGCTCGGGTCTCTGTTCAAGAAAATATACCTGGTATGGTCCAAAGATGGGCTTTCATAGAATTATTGGCTAATTGTTTTGTTCATGGCTTGGATACTAATTGAAATTTGTTCTATGGACAGTAGAATGTAGCTCTTGGGACTTGGTCAGTGAAGATGATCTTTGGAAAGGTGAAAATGTTGATTCAGATGAAGAAGATTATGTTCTTGTTAGCCAAGAAGACATAATAGATGGCATTGCATGCTTTATGGCTGCATACTTGTTGTCTGTTAAACAGACTAAGGTGTGATAACTTCCTAGCCATCGTTAAACTTCATCCTTTTCCACTCAGTATTTCTTTACTCTGCAAATCAGCAAGCTGATGATCTATTTTAAACACTATCTTACAGTTTGACTGCAGTCATTGGCACCCAACATAACTGACCCATAACTGAACAACTTGATTTGCTTTATGATTTTCTGTTATCACATTGGATATTGGTTCTATATTTAAATTGTTTTATATTGACTAAGTCATGGCACGTATCAGGCAACATATACAATTGAAACATGGTATTAAAACTTATCAATTTACCATCATTAACAGAATGTTTTCCATGCTTGGTTAAAGAAACAAACTTTTGTTGGTTTTATATGGAAAGTATTTTTCAGGCCCATGCCTATGTTGTAGTGGATGCTGATTTTTTTTTTTTTTTTTTTTTTTCAGGATTTGACACCTAATCAACTTCAGGAAGGTGAGTCTTTGTCCTAGTAAGGTTGCTTGAATTTTTTTTTTTTTTCTCTGAGCATCATTTTTCTTTCTCTTTTCTAATGTGTCAATACTGTAATTGGAATGATTTTTGTTCTCAGCAATTTCAAAGCGGTATTCTGACTCTCTTCTGAATTCTCTTGCAGCCCTTAGCAAGACTTTCTCTGTAAAAAAGAAGAAGGGGAAGCTTCGGAAAGCTTGGGATGGAAGTAAAGTCATTTATAATGTGGCATCCTGGGGAGCAACAGCTATAGGGTAGGTTATAATTTTAGTTTTGACGAGCAGTTATGTATAATGCAGTATCATCTAGGTTTGGTTGTACCCATGTGTTGCTTTTATTACCATGTAGCTAATCTCATATGTTTCTCTGTTTGCTCCTGACAGGATATACCAAAACCCTGTAATTATTAGGGCTGCTTCTAAGGCAGTCTTGACTTCTTTCCACTTGATATCAAAGCTTCTCTAATTTGCTTGCGCTGTCGCTAGATATTGGAATTGATGGTTGTAACTGCGCTTGTTGCTGTCAATGCAGCTTGGTGTTCTGCAGGTTGTGTAACAAAGAATACCATTCTTTTCATGCTGTAGGATCTGTTCATCTTTCTAAATTTTATCATGTAAATATTTCCTTGTGAAACATTCCTGACTGAAAATCAATTTCATTGATAATCCCATTATTCTGCCTTCCCGAGCACATCTTGGGTACCTGTAGATATCCGTGATGCTAGATTTATACTTTGCTTTGTATGGATATTACGAATACCAAGTTATTGACATTTATTAGTAATAGCAGCGTTTCTCTGTCATCGTCTGTGGTACCTTCTCAATTTTGCATCCTAAATTGTACATCTAAGTGGTTTATTTGATTTGAGTTGCCAAGTTGAATTGGAATGTCCCCGAAATTTCATATGCTTTCTTCGTTATAACAGAATCATGGAATTTTTTTGGTCTCGAAAGGTGTGATGAAATGCAAATGTCTACAAACTAGCGGTTAAATTTCTCCTTGAAACCCAGGGGGTTATGACTGCAACAAAATGCTTTTTATGAGGGACCAGTTTTAATCCATGTTTAAGGTTAAAAAATGAGGGATATTTTGCTTGACTCGATCATGGATAAAGAAATGACACTGCTGATTCCTTCAGTTGCTTACGGATTTCGACTAAAACGTAAGTAATTATTATAATAAATAAAATGTGAATTGAGATTTGAGATGAAGTTTCAGACAAGTTATTAGGTAGCCTACGGAAGACGTAGCATGATGATAACGAAGTTTTCCACGGTTGGGTGCGGCACCCCCTTGTCACCCTATTTGCATGTATGAACGAACGAATATATTAAGCATGCACGGAGGGGGAAGAAAAATCAATTTTCTTAGTATTTCTATATGTTATGTGCAAATATGTATCTTTATGGTAGAGCAGCTGAGCAACTTGCTCCTCGCAAAATTGGAAAAGCTAGAGACCCAAGACGCTGTAAATTCTTATGACTAAATGTAGTCATCTCACGGCAACCTGTCCTCCACCACATATTCCACAGGCACCATTGTTTCGTCATAACATGACGTTATCTGTAAATAACGGTGTCTAGTAGTAGTATCCGTTGTCCTTGTGATTGGGGGCATCCTTGCAGAGCATTGAGCGCACTTCCATGATAGATCTTGGTGGCTCCAGGTCTTTCTCCTGTAGTGCGTTACCAAGAAGCTGCTGCATCTGTGATGCAAAGGTATCATCCAGAATCTGCAAATTAACAATGTCACTTGCTGAATTAAGTAAATTTGAGGCTGTAAATGAACATGTAAAAGAAGAACCCTTGAAAAGGACACCAGGAAAACAATGTAGTGGAGTTGCAGTTCAAAGAAGTAATTTTTTCTGTAGTTTTTCTTATAGTTTTAGTAATTTCTTCTCAGATATTTGGAACTTTTTGACCTCTCTAGCTTACCTGACTTGGATTTTTCATAATAGAAATTAGATTATTAGATGCACATACAAAGCATTTGTAGTAACTAGTATAATTGGGAACATAAATTTTAAAAAGATAACAACATGCAAGGCTGGAATGCTTTTACTTACGGTTACAGCAAGTCTGGAGCCTTTATACCACGACTTATTTTCTTTCCTGTTCTCCAAGAAACTTAGAACGTCCTGTCAAAGGAGAACAATGTAAGCTTCCCACTCTGATTAACCAGGAGTCAAAAATGCAAATTGTTTGCCATATCATTCACATCTAACTTACCTGCCCCATCCGGTCCCAGTACCAACGACAGATTGCAATGAAGACATTGGTCTCAAACACAGTATGAAGGTGATTTATCATATTTATTAGCTGATCTTTCAGTGCCTGCATTCTGCTTCGGATATCAGACTCTCCAACCGTTTCTTTTGAATCTTGTAGAATCTTTTTCAGTTTTGTTGCATTCTGCAATTTGGTCTGGTGGAAACACAACAAAAAATGAGTTCAATGTTATGTAATGCTGACAGTAGTCTAACCAAATAAATAAATATACTTGAATTGGAAACAAAGAAACCTGGTGGCTGCAAGAGGATGGAAAGTAACAAAAGGTAAAGTGTGTGTAGTTCACTAATAAAGTGCATGTATAATTTCATGGAGTGGTGCTATTCTGTGTTTGTGTGTGGTGGGTGGTAAGTGGAGGGGAACAAATTCAAACAAGAATACTACCAGAAGGAAGTAAAAATAAACTAGCTATGAGACAGTAATGCTGAAAGTAGATCCACATCCACAACATTTGAAAGAACAAAAATTCACATCAACTAAACATACAAAAACAATTGTTAAAATTAAGTAAAACAATAGTTAAACTTAAGCATCAGAAATAAAATCAATTTTTTCATGGTTTGAGATTCTTTGAAGATTACCTCGGGTAAGCAATTGGTTCCAAGACATTCTTGGTTTATAGAAAAACCATTTTACTTATTTTAAGACATTATGTGTCTTGATTTCCAAATTAATTAACTATGCTGAACAATTTCTTTTTCTTCCAAAACCTACATTGCATTTTGATTCATAAAAAACCGAATAAGATAAAACAGATTATGGGAGATGTTGTTTCCCTTCAAATATAAATACTTACATTCTCTACAAGTTTTTCAACAACAGCTTGCACGTAACCTCTGAACTTGGCTCTCAACATCACTGTGACTTCACTGAGACGCTCACCGGGAGCTGTGTTCCTGCCAGCAGGAATGCAATTACCCCAGGATTTAAACTGTGCCTCTATCTTAGGGCGTAGGATATCAAGCATCCTTTTCATGGAATTCAGTAGGATTCCAAGCTGCAAGCCAAAATCAAAATCTTAAACCAAAAATTATATTAGAAATAAAGGCAGCTTGATGACTAGAAAGTAAATAGCTCACCTCATCAGGAACTGTATAGGAACATACTGATCGTTTGGTAAGTTTCTGCACATACTTGAGGCCAAATTTCTTAGGTGCAAGATTTTCCTTCAGTGGGGATAGGACATCTGCATATTGCTTATCCAAAGCTTCCACTATTGCTTTCTCGACATCAGCAATGGCCTTTTCAAGGAAACACAACCCAAATAAGAACAACACTATTTTTTTTACTTTCACAAGAGAATAATGGCCAAGAAACTATAATGTATATCTGTTGAAACATTGAACTCAAAAGACGATAGACCCCATCCTTACCGCATGCAGCATCCAATTAAGCATTTTCCTCTCTGTGTGTTTGTGTGTGTTCTAATTTTTTTCTTTAAAAACCTAGTTGCTTTTTGCAAACCACCTTGGTAAGAATAGCTGTGTGAGGCAACATCATAGCGCATAGATTTCAAATTTAGGAACTAGTATTCATGGTTTTTCATCCCTTAACCACATTAAGCACAGGGATTTTATAGGTAGATGACAGACTTGAAAAGGTTGCAGACTAAAATCTGGTGGTTAGTAGAGGAAAGGAAAACCTCCCAAAGGAACAATACGAACTCACATATATAACTATTTGTGATGCACTGGTAATAAATGAAAACAAAATTTGAAAACACTAAATAAATTGGAGGATAAAACATACATTTTCCAGAACAAAAACATATTCCGGCCATCGACTTGTGATGACTTCATAGTCAGTCAAGGTCTCTTTCAACCGCTCATACATTTCATCAACAAAAGGAGTAGTTGAATGCTGAGTCCTAACTCCGGACCATTTTACCTGCAAGTAAATAAGTTTCAGACAACCATTTGAATTTCTTGAAGGAAGAAAATTCCATAAATCTCTGAGATTCTGGTAAATTATAATATTCTAAGACAATGTCTAACAACATGAATTTCCATTCAATTAAGAGGCCATGCATCTTATTTGATTTCTTTTATAAGAAAAAGGAGTATTGTTTGCATAGTTGGACAAGGTAACATGCATCTCTGATCTTTATTCAATTGCAGTGAATGACATGAAACTATGAAAGTTAAAAGCAGAAAATAAAGGCAACTGAGTTCTCCATTTTGTCATACCAAATATATATGTCAGAAAGTATATAAAATTCATGAAGCAATGATCTATTATTTTACAATTTTATCAACTATGTGGAGCAATCATTACAGCTTAGAAAACATACCTTGTCTAATTTACACAATTCAAGCAGAGAAAGGCGTTTATCTTGAATCCAGAGCATGATATACAAGTGGAATAACTCTTTTGCATCAACTCCACCTTTTACAGGACTGGTAAGGACATAGACTCAGTTAGAAAGAATTGCAAAAGAAACCAACTACCACAACAGCAGTTGTCCCAGGCATTACCTTATGTTCCAGTTGGCAAGATCCCGCTGGAAATCTGCTGTTGCAACAACAAGTTCTGCCACAGGGCGTGAAGGGCCAGATGGGGGACATGCAAGAAGGAATGCACGAAGTCTATTACAAAGCTCCGTACTGTAAATGGAAGCAGATAAATTTGGGAGGTCTAGAAAGCTGCAAACAGCATATCTCGTAGTTAGATAAACTTGCAGCTTGAACTCTTGATGACACTGAGATCTTTAGATATTTCCCCAAATCAATTATAGATAGATTCATCATCCGAATACACTATAACACACAATATACATTATATTTATGCATGCAGAAGGTTGGCAGAATCTAGAAATCAAACAAAAACCAAATGAAAAACATACCTTGGAAGTATATGTCGGTTGTGAATCTCAATGTCAATAAAAATCTCATTTTTGATGTTCACACAAAGAGAAGTCATCTTTTGGTAAGCAGTAGACATGGCAACAGGATCCAAGAAATTGGGCTCATTATTGTTGCTGACAAATTCATCTGTCTCAGACAAGTGCCTTCTGGATCTTTTTCTTGCAGCAGCCTGTGTAGACAATACAATTAGAAACGTGGAGACATATAAATATGATCTAATATCAACAAGATAATTTCTTATTTTAGTTACGTTAAAGAAACCAAAAAAGAGACTCAATTTCCCAAACCTGAAAATAGTGGCTCATATTAGTCTGTGCCTCAGGAGATAAAATGTCATGAAGAAGAGTATACAGTTTAACTGCAGGTTCCAGTGCAGGAGCTGCAAGTCCAGTTGCAGGCTTGAAGACATCCAGAATACCAGAGAGTGATGATTCATCGAGAGACTTATAATTCTCAAAAACTAGAGAGAGGATCTGCTCTATCTGGTCTTTGGTTTCTGCCAAGATACGGTTCTAGAAGCAGCCAAAAGTGGTTCATATTGCGTTAGAAGAGAAAGGAGAAGCAAAATCAAAGATATAATAAAATAAAAAAATAGAGCATGGAAAGCAGACACAAAAGTGAAAGGGATAAGGACACAAAAAATGAATAGAAAGCCCGTCACATGAAGATAAACATAATAACAATGAAGATGATGCAACAAATGGTGATCAACATCAAAAAAGAGAAATTCAAAAATATACCTCTTGATGACTCAACGTGCTCTTCCCGTTTCCCTTCATGACAACAGGCATTAACAACTCATACACCAGGGTGAGACAGTCAGCTGTAGGTGTGGCAACATCCATCACATAGGAAAGATAACTGTAAAAGTTTTACATCAGAAATTTGAGTGCTACCAGAACAAATTAAGTGGGTACTACTAGTAGTCCTAGGATAATGAATTTCAATGCTCCATTTTTCATAGAAAAGGCAAAAAAATAAAAATAAATAAATAAATAAATAAAATCCGATTACCGCAGCTTAGTGTAGACATCAGAAACCCCAAAATATGAGGCAAATTCTGTTAATAGCCATTTCCATGAACCATACAACAGCAAATTTCTTTGTTGAAAATGTTGAACCTTCATGGCCACTTCCAAGACAAGGTCATAAGCAACTGTTTCTGCAACAGAACCACACTACATCCAGAAGGAACACCAATTAATATGTCATACTATTTTAGCAAAATTCAATAAGTCACCTTTGAATATTTAATCTTCAATCTTCATTAGCACCAAGCTCAAAGGTTAGAGAAAGAGTTAAATCTATTTTCCTTGAATAAAGCATACATCAACATGTGACTCATTAGGAAAAATTATGAATCTTTGTCCCATGATTGCAAATGTAATGCCTTGCAAAGGAAGATCCAAAACATAACAAAGGCCAAACTCCTAGACTAGACTTTAGTTTAGATCTGTTTACCTTTGGCTGACTGCTTTCATCTGCACTCGTTGAATAATTTATATGTAGCTGTAGCTTTCCAACTGGTTCATGTTCTGGCTCATGATAGACAGACCACCAGCGCAGCTTGTCAGCCTGCATTCAACTTTCTCATGAGCCTTTCCCAACTAGAACTAAAATTGCAAATTAGTTTAAAATTAACAACAGGATTTTGAGACATTACTGGGTCTTCAGCAACGGTAGCCACTTGTGCAAGGACACGGCCAAAATGCTTGCCCTTGGAATCCAGTATTTCGACAATGAGATCATCTCCAAGACTATCTGGGAAGCTGTAAGAGTTGTCAGTATCCATCTTTAGGAAATTGTGATCAAAAGGGGAAGAAATGGGAAAAAATACATACAAGACATGTGTTTCACCAGATCCAGGTTGCATCTTTATGGCATCTTCTTCAGTTGAACTTTTCAGTCTTAACATGCAAGAATAGGTTTCTGATGACATGCAGAAAAGGAAAGGAAGAAAAAATATAAATAAGTCAACAAACATGAGGAAGAAAAATTAAAAGAATAAGTAATGCTCATTACTATCCAGTCATTGCAGGACATGGGAAATCAACAACCTATGTGGTCAGGATATATGATCTTATCATGTTTCATTGAGGCCAAAAAGCTCTATCATGTTTCACAGTGTAACCAGAAAGAGTTCAAGTTCCAAGTTAGAAGCTTAGATGATAAAACCAGAAAAAGGATGGTGTGACAGTGTCCAGCCCCCAGTAGAGAAACAAAGAGATCATAAAGCACATACCTTGCATTACTTCATAGGATGTTGAACTATTGCGTAGACTTGTCGCACCACTTTTTAGGAGGCCAGAGACCTGCTTTATATACTGAGTTCCAGCATGCACATATGCCAAACTGTGACGTGAAAAAGAACCATTTGCAGGCAAACGAGGTGCTACACGAATCTTTCGAAGGGCTTGCCATCTAGAAGAGAGAGTTGACTGCAAACTGGACAAGTGAAATCGTATTGTTTCCAGTTTAATTGTTGGTGCCCTTAGAGATAAAATACTACACCCTGTTGGCGGATCTAAAGTTGACTTCACTTTGCGCACTGCCAATAAACAAGGTCTTAGAACAACCAATAAATAAAACACTTCACTAATGAAAATGTTGATCTGAACTGGAAACACTACCTTGCACCTTCATCTTGCCGATAATTTTCTTAGGTTTTGGAGCAGCAGCCTCACTTATAAGTTCTGATGAGCGCTTAGCCAATAGTTCCTCCTCTGACTGCAGCAGGACTTGCTGTAACCTATGGTGCAATAAGCAAATTTTAAGGAGTGCAGATACAGAACAAAGTAGAGGGAATTTGGACAATAAGACACCAGTGCACATTTTACAGTAAAGTCACAAACAAATTCCAGAATCTGCATAATTGAGGAAACCAAGAAATTGGATTAAGAAAATTTTGTTAACAAACCTACACTCACCCAAATGCTTCACGTAGCACTGCACATTCATTTTCCAGAAACATAGGAGCTTCCATACAACCTCCAGCCCAAGCATGAAGGCAAAGCCGCACGCATGCATCATAGGCAATTACTGCATGCCATGGCCCAAGAGCGCTGGAGTTGGTGTGAGAAAAACCAAATGTTCCAAGTAGTTAATTGAACAAATTCCAAGAACAAAAATATGTTGTTAATTGTAAGTATAATCTACAAATTTGTGTTGGAGAGACATGCCTAGCATGAAGAGTTGGGAGGCGAGCTGGAGGAGCACCTGAAGACACAGCTGCTGCTTCTTCACCAGCTCCAGCTCTGCAAGCAAATAGGAAAAGATTACAATAATATAAACCAAAAAAATATATCTATGCTACAAAAAATGGATTTTCTATATTTCAGTTTGGAGATCAATGTGATTTAAATTTTTAAGTGCATCTAATAGGCTTCAAAAAACAGAACAATTACAGTACAAACCTTATGAACTCATCAGATTTACTGTTCCTGGCATTACACTCTGGCTTAACCCCAGACATAGATTTCAAGGCATTTGGCTCTCTTGAATTTGCGGCAGATGAGGTACCATGCATTCCAGATGCAGGCATATGCTCACCTTGTTCAATTTCCTGGGCAGTACTAGAAAATGGCGGTGCACTAGGGAGATCATCATCAGAAATCTTCTCATTTTGCATTTTTCTAAAATGCAAGTCCTGTAAAATATAGACCATCTTAGGAAAAACAGTACTTATTATCCATAATGAACTTAGAAAACCAGAAGCTAGGCATTCTTAAGAGTTGTTTTAATGAAATAATCAGAATAATAAAAATACAATCATCAACAGCAACCAAAAGTGGGAAAAAAATTATTTTAAAAGAAAAAGGCCAAATAAAGCCAAACTTGAATATGCCAATATGGTAGAAACCTGTAAACTACATCATGTCCTACAATGCTTAGTTTGAGGTGTCCATGGAAGACATCTTACAAGTAATTTATATTGAACTCTTTTTTTATTTTTTTTTCTTCTTTTTGGTAATGCTCCGATCAATCAACAACATTTTGACACTTATAATGTTTAAAATGATGAATGTGCCCTTGGATATGCACCCAGCTCATCACACCAACGGTAAAATAAATTGAGATATGAACAACCATGAGAAACCAACCAGAGGTATTCACTATCATAATATAGAAGTGAGTCTAAATTAGGAAAAACATTTAACAGCTAATAGCTACTCTTGAAACTGAGGCATAAATTATCTGCACATCCACTTGTAATGAAACTCTATCCAGAAGTCAATAAATAACACAGACCTTCCGGGCAGCACTGTCCCCATTGACCCTAGAGGGCACACTCGAATTATACCCCTCAGAAACATATGTTCTGCTCTGAGACACACCACCACTGATGCTTCCAGCTTGAGTAGTAGAATACTCTGAGCTAGCAGCTGAATCTGACGACTCATCCTCAACGTACCCATTCCTCCCAACTGGATATCTCCCGTTGGCTCCTGCCAACCTCTCTGCACCATTCACTTGCCTACCCACAATAGTGTCCCTCGATGAGCTAACATCAGAATACGTATAATCACTGGCATAACGCGGCCGCCTTTGAGCCGTATTTCCATATCTATGACCAGTGCCACCAGGAACTCTTTCATCTTGAGGCGAAGAATCCAGTGAGTACTTCCCTCCGTAAGCATCCTCCGCCGACTCAGTGCTCATGTCATTTTCAGAAGCAGAGGCACTATCATCTACACCCCTCGGAAGTGTACTTGACACCGGAATTGCAGTCGACGGCAGGTGTCCACTTCTGAATTTCGCCGGCGGCGGCAAACCAAAACCTCGTCCACCACTTCGGATGTTAGTAATCGGATCCATTCTAGGTCTCAGATTAGAATTCGAAAATGTCACTTCCTTCTGATGAACAACAGTTACCAAAACACAAATTCAAAAATAGAAACAGACAAAAAAAATTTTGAATAATAATAATAATAATAATAATAATAATAAGACAAATCTCCATAGCTAACCTCTCGAACCCATCTTAGGGCATTATTATCAAGTCCTTCCGTGAACATGACAACCAAACATCAATTTCACCTGTTCAGAGTTCACCATTACCAAATCTCAAATCTAAGAAACATCCTCGTACTAAAAACAGTAAAATCAAAAAGGAAAGCAGTCAAAACCTCGTTCAATCCGAATCTAAACGGTAGAACACAACCGAAACAAAAACAAGAGCAGAAATGTACAATGCTCCACTCGATTCGTAACCACAGTAACAGAGATCGCAGTGAAGAAATCAACTTCGAAATCTCAAACAAAAGGGGGAACCAAATCTCCAAAGCCAAAAAGAGACTTTCTTCTCTAAGAAGCTTTTCGCCGTTTCAGCTCTGAGCGACAGTACGCTCCTCTGCAAAAGTGTGTCCACCGGAATCCGGAATTTCTTACACGTTACATGCTCTGGTTTACAATCACTTGATCAAGTATAAACCATTTTTTTTCCCCTTGAAAA